ATGATCAACTTCCTTTGGTGTTTTTGTGTTGGTTTTGAAGCGCGTCACAAAGGCCTCGGCCAACTGCTGCCACCTTTTAATGCTCCCTTCCGCCAGCCTCTCGAACCATTTCAAACCCAGCTCGCCCAAACTCGACGGGAAGATCAAGCACATAAGAGAGTCATTCCGCCTATGTCCGGCCATGACCTGTCGGAAATGACTTACATGCATATACGGGTCGATTTTTCCGTCGTAGAGCGTGAACTTTGGCTGGTGGAAGCCCGCCGAAAGCGGTGCTGTCTCTATATCCACGGAGAATGGAGTGGCACTGAGCCTCGCCAAGTCTGTGTCTACAGGGAGAGGCGCGGCTGGGCGAGGTGGAGGCATTCCGACCTCGTCGCTGGCGTGAACCCCATAGGATAGCCGCTGGAACGCCAGCACCCTCTAAGCCTCCCGCCAGCGAGCCCGTTCTTTCAAAACTGCCCGCAAATCCTCTGATTGAGCGGAATAAGAGTACCTCGACGTCGTCACTGGACGTGAGGGTTGGTAAGTGCTATCTTGTGCACTGGATTTCTCTACATGCACGTCGGAATCTCCAACCTTGTAACTTCTGGTGATAGAAATAGAAGGAATGTGCCGCTGACTCTGACTTCCTGAACGGCGGGGTTGGGTGCACTCACTATGGTCTCCCCCTCCAGCTACACCCTTCCCTTTGACATGCCGCTTCAGCTCCTCCATTTCCGCCGCCATTCGCCGGATGACGGCGTCCTGGTCCCTTAGCTTGTGTTCCAGACGTCTGGCGTGCGATTCTCTCCGCCGCCGATGACTGTCTGGACTCCATGAATGACCATAACTTCTGCCGCGCTTATCGCGCGCGTCTCTTGAGTGTCCTCCTAGAGAAGTCTCCAGGTTCGCCATCGGAGGAATGATGGAGGGATGTTCTTCTCTCTTTCTGCCCGACTCTGGGGTAACTCCGTCGACGGCAGACAGCGGAATCTCTTCGTTGTTCGCCATGGACGGCGATCAGATGAGCCTGGAAGACAAGGTTTTGTCTGTAATGTTCCCACAGACGGCGCTAATTGTGCGGGGAGCAAATATTCAGGCAAGCCCGCACTCCTTTCTTCCAAGCTCCTGTCTGTCCGATCTACCTGTGAGCACGACGACGGTGAGTTACCCGGCGGTGTGTGGCCAGAAAATCCCTCCGACGATCAAGTTAGACACACACACAGGGATAGAGAAAGAGAGAGAGGACTGAGTTGTGTTTTGTGTTTATCTTACCAAAAAAATGTGTCATCCACGATATGGGGGGCGCAGACATGCTTATATACCTTCTGCGCCCCAAACCTACTCTCAGTGATCTCTCGACAAGTGGTGCTGCTATCCCATCTGTCAGCACAAATCTTGCTGAACATCACCTAACCCAACTGCCAGCCCACTCTACTGGGAGCTCGGCAGCTGAGCTGTAACATCTCGGCTGTAAACAATCATGCTGCGCTTCATGCTCAAGTGCTCCAATAACCGAGCTCCTTTCCAGCCGTGCTCGACTGCATTCCGGCGAAGCCAAGCTTGAGATTGGTCATGCCAGTCAACCAAAGGCCTTCTTGCCGAGCTTCAGGCATGAACCTTCATGCCGAGCTATGGATGCGCGCTTTCCAACCGCGCAACGCATAAACCGTGGAACCCTTACTTGACCGGCCTCCGTGCCGACAAGGTCAAGCAGCTCGGTTCCACACGCCCTTGCCATTACCGAGCAAAAATCGCTTCTGGGTGGACCTAGGATACCACGGGCCAAATGTGTTCGGCCCACAATATGTCCAGTATTACCATGGCCCAATCCAGATCATACTTCTCCCTCTCACTTGGGAAGCCTTCTTTGTTGGATGGTCGGAGGAGTTTACTGTGCTCACACTACCAGTACTGTGAAAAAAAATTGAAATATGTTAGATAGTTAGAAATAGGTGGATGTCTGATATTTTTGTGTGAAGTAGTTGAGTAATGTGTTTACTAAGAGTAACATGACGCATCCAGTGACATGCATTGGGTTGTTGTTTGCATTTGCCATTGAATTCATCAGTGTGTCTTTTATTGCTTCAACCCAATTGTATTTCTTGATGTTGTTGAGATTGTCAACATAGTTGAGGAAACTCCAATTGAGTGTATGGCCTGGTGTAGGCATAAGAAGTTTCAAGCACAAGTAAAGGGTGATGACCCTTGCAAGATCTTGATGATCATTGGTTGATTTTCCTTTTTTTGTTTGTTAAAACATTTTGGTCAAAGACTTGCCATTCAATCTCTTTACTGATTTGCATCTTCGTTTGTAAAATGGAAGCTCAAAATCCTTTGGTCTTGCATAGAATTTGGTGATGATGTTGTCTTCTCCACAGTCGATACCAAAAATGAGCTTGACATCACTGTTTCTGAGTTTCATTTCCTTTTTGCTAAGTATAAATGCTCTTTTTCTTTTGTTGTAGAGTGTTGTCATTTCTGCTACAATGGAATTGTAACATCTGCACCAAGAGGCCTTCAGTTGTGTTGAGGAGAGAGCATTTATAATGGGCTAAAAAGAGATTTTTTCCAACTCTGTCTGTTGGCCTTTTGTGAATTTGACCCCCTTCAAGAGTTTGATTATTGTTCCGATGTTGAAACGGTAATTAAATTGTTGGACTCTCTTTGCAGGGATTGCTGTTTTTTTCCCTTTTGATGCCTTGATTTTTGTTTTGAGAGATGATTGGCTTTCTTGGAGCTTCCTTTTTTTGGTTAGAGGAGCTTCTTGTTTTTTTGTTGGCTTTCTTTTGTTTGTTTTTGTTGTGGTTGGAAGTGTGGTTGGTGTTTGTTGTGTGGGTGGGGTCTGTGGTATAGTTCTTGGGCTTTTTCTTGTAAGTAGTGTGGTTATTTTGTGGGTTTTTTGGTGGGGTTTGTGGTGTTTGGTTTTTTTTGGTTATGGTGGTTGGATTTTTTGTGGAGGGGGAGATGTTGGTGGCATTTCAGTGGATACAGGAGAAGGACTTTCAAAAAGGGAGATACTTAAATCACTGATTGGATTTTTGGGCATATGGGTTTGTTTCTTCCAATATCTTCCGATAGCTATTTCTGAAAAAATGAAAGCGACAGCAGGGTATGAGTAATATAGTGACAAAACTGTATAATTTTGAAGTTTTATATGCAGTTTAATATGAAGTTATATGTATTTGTTGGTAACAGTTACGAAACTGTATAATTTGACAGTTTGATTTGCACTTTATAATAAGTTACCTATTTGTTTTAAGTAGTGATTAAACTGTGTAATTTTGCAGTTTCATTTGCAGTTTGAATAAATTTAAATATGTTACTTGTAGAGTGATGAAATGAAACTGTATGATGTTGCAGTTTTTATAAACAGTATCAACAATAAGAACAGCTCATTGTATTTTGTAAACAGCAACAATAACAACGAGAAGATTAAATATTCAACAATAACAATAAGAAAAGCCAATATTGAACAACAAGAATAAGAATAAGGTGTTGAATGTGTAAAAATAGGGATTTATGTGTAAAAACAGTAAATTAGAATGTTTAAAAACATGGGACTAGAATGTTTTAAAACAGGGGATTATATATAAAAAAGGGTTTATACATTTTGAAGTATGTAAAATGTGTATATACGAAATATGAAAGAATAATGTACAAATTTGAATGAAAAATAATGAATAGGTGAAGAGAGATGTTACTTTTTTTTCCCATTTCTGTGAATCGGAAGTCAGGAACTGTGAAATTTCTTCAGAGTGGTAATGGTTCTTCGTGTTGTTGAGAGTCGCCGATTGGAGAATATGAACGGCTTGGGGTTGTGTTTGAAGATGAACGGCTTTGTTTTGTGGTTAGGGTAAGGTTTTAGAGGGAATGGAGTCGAACGGAAGAGAGATGGAGGACTGAGAATGCGATTTCGAGCGGTGGAGATGTAACAGTGTACTGATCAGACTGAGATGATCGTGGGTGATGAAGATGAACGGTTTCGTTTTGTGGTTAGGGTAGGGTTTTAGAGGGAATGGAGTCGAATGGAGAAGAGATGGAGGACTGAGAATTCGATTTCGAGCGGCGAAGATGTGACAATGTACTAATCAGACTGAGATGATCGTGGGTGATGGTTGCGCGCGTGTAAATTGGATGATATATTGTGGATATTTTCGTCTTATTGATAATTTAAGGCCTTAATGGAGTGTTAAATTTGTTTTGGACCTAAATGGGGTATGATATGTTGGGCTTGGACTTTTGAGCCAGTTCCCCCAAAAAAAATCAAAATCAAACACGCAATCAGCCTCCGTTTGGGAAGTGGGTTGGCTTTTTGACTTTTTTGGCTTTTTTAGCCTGGGGCTAAAAAGCCTGGTTTAGGAAGGACTTTTTGACTTTTTTGACTTTTTTTGTGAGAAAAAAGTGTAATGATTATGGGTTGGATTTGATATTTTGTTTTTTGTGGCTAGAATAGCCTATTTTGTTTTTTGTGGCTATTTTAGTCCCTAACCCACCAAAACCAACTTCCCAAAATATGTTAAAGAAACCACACAATCAAAGATTGATGACGTTGGGAAGTCTACATTCCCTAAATGTAGAAAATTTTTCTCAAAGTTTAGTTTGAATATTGATTGTATTAATGCAATTTAAAAATGGTTTATTATTTTAAAAAATAATTATTATATCATTCTTGAATTTTTTATCCATTTTTTATTTACAAATCATTTTGCACAAGCTTTTAATTTTAAGGGCAAAAGTATACATAACGGGGGGAAAAAATTGTATTGAGATACAATATCATTACTATTTTTCTTAAAGAAAATCTTAGGACTAATAAAAAATAAATTAAAGCTGAAAGCATAAAGCAACAAGCATTGATAATGTTATATACACCAACATAAGATTTAAATTCTACAATTTTTGTTGGATGCATAACATTTATGTAAGTGTGATTATTTATTTGATTTTTTTAAGTATAATTATTAATATTCAGTTCATTCTAATTCCATCAATGGTCATTCCTTGTTTGCAGAAAATTAAAAAACAGAAAGTAACAAATTATTTATATTTTATGAAAGTTTTTACAGAAAAAAACTGAGTTATGTTCAGGCAAACAAATAAACCACTGGAGATCCTCATCATCATCATGTACAGCAATTTCATACAAAAACTACCTCAAGTTTGATCACAAACAATTCTCTCAGAGGGACAAATTGCAAAATAAGCTTCTGGGTTTGAACCTCTTAAGAGCCATGTGATTGTGATTCATGAACGATCGAAAAGTCTCCAAAAATATGAAATACAAACACAGTTTCTTCACAAAAAGTGGCTTAATGGAGATGGCCTTTTATGCATGTACAACGATGACCCATCTCATGCACCAGCAAAACTCAATCCTTGAATTCGACCTGGTTTGAGAACAACATTCTAGAAATAAAAAACCGGCCAAGTTGGAGATGATTCAGACCAACACCAACAGAACTCTGCCTATTAAGCCTGTGAGGTACAAGCCTAATAGCCATTTTTCCCTTTGGAGGAAAAGAATCTGCTAAATCCACGTGAATTTTTCTCCGGAGTAGTTCCAGAAGACTTGGAAGGTCGATCTTTTGCATGCTTCGAACTGACTGGTGATCTCAAAAGAGCATTATTTGCTTCGGTGTCAGAAGGGCTGCACGGGGCGTTGTAATGATCCATTGGGGATTCACTACCTACTCTCTGCAAATTGGGAGAGGAGGGACTATCCATCTCGGTCTGATCAAGATCCTGCAAATTCATGCCACTGGTAGTTGGTTCTTCTTCAGTAAAGCCATCACTGCTCCTCTGAGTCCTCTCGCTGTATGGAGACCCCATACGTTCGGTCTGAGGACGCAAACCTTTCAGTTGCTTGCCAAGAAGAAATATGGTTTCTTGACACTCTGCTAGCTTCTCTGCTGCAGCAGATAGCTCCTTCTCCTGCAATAGAAACAGATGCTCCTAAGTACATGTTCTTTGATCAATCAGCCCACCGGTTGAAAGGAAAATGAGAGGAAATTATATAATTTGGAAAAGAAAATAATATGACATGAAGTCCCCAAATTGAAGTTTCATTTGATCCTAGCTATAGATCGGTGTGCCTGAATGGTGGGGATTCTTCAACTGATGATTAATTAACATGAATAAAGCATTTGATTAATTGATCCAAAATGCATAAGACAAAATAGTGTAGTTAGAAAATTCAACTATCAAAATAATAAGAAAAGCCCCAACTGTATTGCTTTAAATAGGGATAGCTGTAGTTCTGAAAACAGAAAGGGAAGGAACAGGTCCTGAAAGCAAATTAGAATATTTTTATGAACTTAGTCCTAGGGGATTTCAGTTACAATTTATGTACTTAGGAGCTAAATGTTGAAAGAAAATCTTCAAACACTCGAACAAGCATATAATAATCTGCTGAAGGTGATTTACATGGCCTATATCACCATGTTAGATGTGATCCAGCGTTCGACATAACCTTGGACATAGTAAGCACTACTATTTTAACACATTCCTTCTAGTTCTGACTGCTTGTATCCACTTTAGATGTCTTCTGAAGGACCACAAGACACACACATAGAGAACAAGACGGTTCTCTGCAGAAAAGTTCAAGAGAGAGAGAGAGAGAAAGATTTCACCATTTTTAATGAGATTACCAATCTAGCCCTAGGGATCTCAGTTACAATACATATAGAAACTTAACCTTAAACACCAGAAATTTTGGATGCACAATGCCTGTGATATTATCTGCTCATAACTATCAACTTTCTGAGCAAAATGACAAAATTTCAAAGGCTTACCAGTTACCATTTCATGCGTTTTTATATTGCACAGTTTCACAATGAGGAAATGTAAAACCAAGATTAATGTACAGTTATTATGTAAATATTTATACATATGTATCTGACCAGTGATGTATCTCATATTACACCACCAACTTGTGTCACTCTAAAACATGAGGGATTGCCTCAATTTTCATGTCCAAATGTCCCCCTCAGAGATTCTTTAGCGCACATATTTAAAAAATTTAATGAAACAACATATATTACATAACAAATACAAAACAGATCAAGCTCAAGACCATAAAATAACTAAAATGTAACATTACACTTTAAGGCTAACAAGTCAGTAAGGCAAAAGCCAAGACCTCTACTTCTAAAAAGTTGGAATGCCCGTCATGAAATCTCAAATTTCAGAGAATGCTAGTCAAGACTTCGTTCGTATATACAAATAAAAGGGTAATAGATTATCCATCTTATAACTAAGATACCGACTCAATTCACTAAGTTTTACTTCTCCAGGAAGCCATGGAACACTCATAACATGCAATTTCACAACTATTTTTAATTTCTAACAGCATTCGGAGGCAGATCCAATCATATAAAAAAAAATTCAGATGAAGGATGACTGAATTAAAAAATTTGTAGTTTCTTTTGACACAGACTGGGTGAAGTTATAAGTGAAAAACTTATAAGAGTAGATGAACTTGAATATTGGAAACACACAATTGTTACAAGCCCTCACCTGGTTAGTCTTGGCGTCAATATCAGCTGTTGCAAAGCTCTCATTCCTTAAAGAGGGGCAGAGAGAGAGAGAGAGAGAGGCAAGAATCAGAGTTAAATCAAGATCTGTACTAGGAATGAAGATATATAAAGAAATAGATACACTTGTATACATAGATAACAGAGTTATAATATTAATAATTTTAGGATGCTAATCCACAAAGCTGACTGCGACTGAAAATGAACATTGCTCAATCAATCCATATCTTTAACTTAATGAACTATTAATGTTTGTGGATATAGGAAGTGCAATCAGAGCTCAGTCGCAAAGGAAGCTAATGGCCTGTTAAGTTTATGGATTTGATAAGGGAAAAGGAATAAAAGTACAATTGAAACCATTACACCTTGTTTGTTGTCCAGGTAAAATAATAAGGAAAGAAAGAATGACAAAAATAGAGGAGAAAGTTCTAGTTCTATAATATCTTTTTTTCACAAGTTCTTAGCGTTTCATTTCTAAAAAAAAAAAAAATTAAGTGGGAGAGAAAATGTGTAGGAAAATGGGTTTTCCTTCTCACTCTTCTCCTTTTCCTATTCCCTTACCAATTTAGAGTTTTAAACAAGGCCTATGGAAAACAAAAAAAATGTGTATTGAGAAAGGAGAGTAGAGGAATAGATAAGGTCCTCTACCACCCCAATTCTGAAGGTTAGATTAGTCCTTTTAGGATGTGTGGTTGGTTTGACCCTAATGAAACTCCTGTTGGTATTACCCCGTTGTGTGAATATGAATATTCTTTCCTTTCCTCTAGTTCAAGAGAAAGGAGACTTGCAAAGGTAAAATTTCTACATTTCTATTTTTACGATGTATGACATATAGAATGCAGCAAGTTCAATAAAACTAAAATTAATCTTGGCCTTAGTACTGATAATAACCATCAGTTTGGGCAGGATGGCCACTCAATGCCTACCCATGCAAAAAAATGTCAAGTACTAACCTTTGCAATTGCTTTTGGAGATCCTTGCATTTGGCCACAGCATCCTGATGGTTCCTCCTTTCCTCTTTAAGCTCATTATCTAAACTTTCTGTTTTCGCTCGCAGCAGATTCACTTCAGTTTGAAATTCCTCCGCACGTGTTTCAAGAGACTTGTATGACTCAGCCATACATTTCAGCTGTGTCTCAGCCAAGCTGTTCAACTTTTGAGAAGATGTTAATTGTGATTTGACTTCTGCCAGAAGCTGCTCTGTTTCCTGAAGCTGACTTTTAGTGTTTTCCAGATTTTCAGTACATCTAGCCAGATCCAAAACCATGCTATCTTTTTCTAGTTTTAATTGTTCAAACTCCTCAAGTGAGCATTTCCATGATGTGGCATTTGATCCGAAGCTTGGGATGAAACTTCCTTCATGGGGAATATCGAGATCAGAAGTGGAATCAGAAAAGTGAGCACAACCATTTGGATATATCTCTCCCAATGTGTCCTGAACCACCTTATTCTCAGGTAAAGCAACCTTGTCGATGCAGTCACAACTATTGGTTTCTACTTCATTACTATTGAAGCCCAGGACATTATTAAAGTGAAGTTCACTGGCTTTGTTTAAAACATGTGAAAGATCAAGAACATAATCAAGCAAACTTGTTTTGCTGTGAATAACCCTATCAAAGGTGGCAGAGAACTCCTGGATTTTTTGGCTCAATCCATCACCATCAGGAGATGAGCCCTGGATAGACATAGCTTCTTTCTCCAGATTCAAGACAAAGTCATGAATCTGAGATACGGCAGCTGCCAATTCTTCGCTAATGGTATGTACTGTTGCTCCATCTGGCTTACAATCTTTGGACATAGAGATTTCCTTCGCTACCGGTTCTTCAGACCCCTCAGGACAGGCCTGTCTATCACATGTGGCATCAGAACTGTGACTTTCTTCCAAAACACAACCCATGGAGTGCTGATGCAGACTATCATGTGTTTCCTGCACAACAAGTCTGATGTCATCCAAAATCTTTTCCATGTCAGAGTCCTTAGACATACACTCAAACAATGTAGAGATTCTTGATCGAAGCTTTGTCAAGGGTAGTGAATCAGCATCAGATTGTGGATCCATTACTGACAATTCCAGATTAGAAGGCACCTGATTTGCCAACGAATCCAACTCAGGCTGTTCTTTAGAGTGGAAATCTGAATCAGGTATCACTTCTTCTGAAGTATCTCGGTTGGTGATTTCTGAAATATTATTATTTGAAACATCAGAACCAGAGATGGCTCCATTTGAATCATTTGATAAATTTGCCAATTTCTCCATCTCCAGGAAGTCATCCATAAGCTGCAGGTGATTTGTACCTTCAGCCTTGTTAGGCTTCTCAACATTCTTATCCTTCTTGAAATGGGAGAGCTCAGAGATCAATGCTGTAGCCCAAGAACCAGCACAACTTCCATCATCATCATTTCCATCTTCAGACATGGAGGTAAAGCTAGGTGGACTGCTAGCATTTTGACTTAAGGAACCTTCAGTGGGGATGTGGACATTAGATTTTGACGGATTTTTCTGCTGATTATTAGCTTGAAGTGTTTCTAAACTTTGAAGCTTGCTAACTGTCTTAGCACAAATACTTCTGGAAGCTTGCAATTCACTGTTGCGCTTTGCCAAAGCTTCTTTCAACATCTTCGTTTCTTCTTCCATTGCCAATAGACGTTCTGTGAGAAACTCATTCTCTTTATAGAATTTTTGTACGCTGTCAAAGGAAAATTCAGGCAATTGGGATGGGTGTGGACTAGGAGGCTTTACAGGAGACTTCCTTAATCGAGTGTCTCCGTAATCCCGGCCTAAGCTCTCAACTTCTAACTTCATTTGGGCCAGTGCTGCAGGACCAGGCAACTTCTTTCGAACAAGACCACGCAATCTTTGGCACTCTGCTTCCAGCTTAGCTATTTTCTTTACTCCTTCCAAATGCTGCTTGTTGGCTACTTCTGCAGATCTTACACTCATATTCTTTTCCTCATTGCGGATTTCTAGCTCTTTTGCAGCTATATGGTGTTCGTACTTAAGTGAATTTATTTCTCTCTCACATGATTCAATATTGCTCTTCAATAATTCAATCTCGGCCTCTGCTTGTGATTTTTCTTCACTTATCTTAATCAGCATGTTAGAACGCTCCTGCAATGACCTTGAAAGTGCAGCATTTTCTGCTGCAGACCTGAGGAGTTCTTGGTCCAAATTAGCTATCTTTGCCTCGAATTCAAGCTTTATTTTATCGCACTGCTTTGTTTTGGTAAGAACAACTTCATGCAATCTCTGTTCATGTTCTTCCTTTAAATTTCGTATTTGTCGCATGCACTCCTTTAAAGCACCATCTAAATGCGAAGCTCGATCTTCAGCAGTAAGCTTCAAAAGTGTGACAGATTCTAGATGATTTTTCAGTGCCAAAGCTTCTGCCTCAGCCTTTTCCCAACCTACAGCATAAAAGGTTTTAATTTTTAATACTCATGACAAATCAAATTAAAAAAGGAAAAAAGAAAAAGGTTGGTCATTAGACAATGTGTATTAAACTAAATTACTAGAGCTAAATTTTAAATATTATTACACAAAAAGAAAAAAAAAAAAAGAATGGCAGAAGTGCACAAGTTTCTTTTCCTTCTATATATCTCAATTAGAGATCAACATCAAACCTGAGACAGCTTCTTCAGCAACTTTAGTATGTTGTTTCACTAGGTTGTCCTTGTTAGTCATCTCTGAATGGGCTGCAGATAGCTGTTCGTTCAAATCCTGAACTTCATCTTCTAAAGTCTTCACTTGATCCTCATAAGTCTTCACTTGGTCCTCATATGACTTCACTTGATCCTCCAATCCAGTTAGATGTGAATACGACTCCATGGAGATTTGAACATAGTTTGGTTTTTTGTAATTCTCCTGTTACCAGAGAGGTAAATAATTAATTAATTGGAGAGAGAGAGAGGGGTTAAAAAGAAGAATATTGGATCAACTGCATGAAAATGAAAAACAATCTACAAAGCAAGCAACTATTTCATTGGATCCACTTCTGACAGTGAATCTCAAATCATCATATGCTAGCACAAAGAAAAATATGAAATATGTTCACTAAAATGAATTAATCAGGAAAAGGAGGTGCAAAAATATGCTTAAGATAAAATTTTGTATTGATTTGTCCTTTTACAATTATAATTCCAAATTTATTTCATTCCTGAGCAATAAAATTGCATGCAGCTGAAACAGTTTTCCATCCGTAAAACACTGGAAAGTGTGCAATTAGAACCATTTGAAAGTTTCACACAAATGCTAACTGCAGGGACTAGAAAGCCTCGAGTTTGATTTAGTGCATGTCAAAAGGTATTAACTGTCACATTCCTTTCAACCTTGATAATAAAGGAAATACCCGTGCTAAAACAAACAGTTCTGAGATCAAAAGATGGCAGAAATCTCTGAAGTAGGCATACAACAGGTTCAATGATCAAACCCAGATTGAACAAGAAGCTCTCACAGTTCATCAAAGATTTGAAAAGCAGTATGCATGTAACAGCCAAATGTATTCAAAGCTACATTTGATACCAATTTGCAGTGTTTAAATTTGCAGGAAATTCAACATAATCAGGGGGCTACTGATAGGAATCATGGAGGGCTAGATAACTGGTAAATACAGTAATGGCCATCAAATTTGAAATGCAGAAATAGGGGTTGTTTGACAACTGGGGGGAACACCCACATAAACGTAATGACTAGTCTCCCGACACTGGATTTAAAGGAAACAGATATCCAAAAATAAAATAAAATCAAATAAAATTGGAATATGATCAGTTTTCAAACTGAAGAGTAATAAATAAAATCAGCCAAATTATATAATGGTGTTAAATGTTAATTGTCACACCTGATCACCCTGAGAACCAGCTGAAGCAGCAGCAGTCTCTAAAGTAGCAACTACTTTCTCAGCTCCAGACTTGTCAGAGGATTTTTTCTTCCAGGGCCAACTTCTCCTGTCCATCTCAGACTGTATGGTTTGCACATATGCAAATTAGCCACAGACTATCAGAATTTAATATTTTGCAGGAATTGATTTATCAAAATACATCTTTTTGCTTTTCTTTCTTTCACCCCTTTTCCTAAGTTAAGTATGAGCATCACTTGTTAGTTACTTAAGAGGTTTGAACCACAACTCACTGCTGCCCCTTCATTGCACAATGTTCAGCCAAAATTACAACATATAGTGAAATTGTAGTTTGAAATAAGTTTTTAATCGAATAAAATTTCATCATCAATATAGGAAATCGATGTGGTGTTTCAAACTTCATTTTTGATGTTTCTGCCTACATAATACCAGGTCAGAGGAACAGACAAGACCGGGGCTCACTGACAAGGATGAGAAAAATGGTTGAGTTAGGACCTAATCATATTCGAACAAAGGTTATAATAAAGAATTCAATCAATTTACTGAGAAGATTGGAGAGAGAAACATAGGGTCAATGAGTGTGGTTCTATGGATAAATGGTTTTGAATTATTATAGATGCAAATGTGTAAAATAATCTCGACTTGACTATATACATAAATATCAGGCATCAATAGTAATACTACATTAACCATACAAAGAAAGAAAGAGGAAGAACTACTGGAAACTATGTTGTGAAGTGTAAGACAACACCTAGAATGAATCCCTCAAGGGATTAAAAAAAAAAATTAAAATCATCAATTGCAGCAAAATTATTTGACAAGAGAAATAATATTCACTGAGATTTTTGCCCAATTATGAATTTGTTCTGCATTAATATTCATATATTTCCATTGATTGGCCATGAAACTCAACGACTAATATCTCCACTACACAGCTGGAAAACATGAACCCAGATATATAATGCAATTAAATGTTAAAACCCATTTTCACTTTTTTGTGTTTTTTTTTTTTAATTTATTTTTTAATGAAAATTCACAAAACATTGCAAATTTTGAGGCTTCTGTGGCCATTGTTATTGAGAAAATCCCATGCTCACCAAGGGCACAAAAACAAAAAAAATAAAAAAAATTTATTTTTTATTTTTTTTAACAAATCAGGAGCTGGGGAAACGAAAAAGAAAAGAAAAACAAACCGACATACCAAAATTGGCTAAAATCTGATGCCTCTAGTCATGAAAATTGGGTCAAATCAGAGTCCTATAATCATGAAACCAGAGACAAACTATCATTGCTTCACATGCTTCAATCAATGCACATTGAATCAATTGAATGATATCAAACCCAATATAGCTTTTTTTTTAAAAAAACAAACTGAAGATTAAGAAATCAGAAGAAAAGTTCACACACCAGTAACAGAAGATATAGACTGAAGAGATGGAATCAAGCAAAGGCACAGTAAGCAACAGTGAGACCATAAATAAATAAAAAAAAACAGATGGTAGCTTCTTTCGGTTTCAGCAAATCGCTGATAGATGTACGATTACTGACACGAAACAAACAGTTATCAAAACTCAAAAAACAGAATTGTGTAAATTCGCCTCATGTTTCGGGCATTCATATCCCAAAATCTAATCCAATAATAGAAGAAATCAGGAACAGGAAAAACACACCGACAAAAATCAGAATGCAAAATCTCCACAAATGAGAGACCGAGTGTGAGAGATTAAAAACAAAAACAGTAAGATTGTTAAAAAAAACAAAAACAGTAGTTTTTTGTGACGCCATCGATTGACTCGAGAAGAAGAATCCGAGGAGGATAAAAATTAACAGCAATCGACTTACCAGTACACCAATGCAGCTTCTAGAGAGAGAAAGAAACCCAAGTTCTAATTAGAATCAGAACTCAGTTACAGAGATAAATAAAGATCGACTCAGAGACTTTGCTTGCTCTCCTTTTATTTGATCTTTTTTGTGGATTTTTCTAGAGAGAGAATGTAAATGTATATGTATATGTATATGTATATGTATATGTATATGAATATATGTGTGTGTGTGTTATTGTAGTGAGAGAGAGAGAGAGAGGGGGGGCATTTGGCTCCTTTTTTTCCCAGCTTGTACAGGGCCGGCCCTGAGATTTAGGGCCCCGACCTTCGGAAATTGGGTCTTTCTTACATTAAAAAAAAAAGAAAGTTGATTGATAAAATGATAAGTTACAACAATTTTTTTATTTGTTTGTAGTCACAAAAAAATTTACTTACAACAATTTCTTCATCGACCAAACATGAACTTTCTATTTGTTTTTTGCTACCAAAAAATTTATCAAGCGCTCCCGATTGAGATTGAATAAAATCTTCTAATTTTTGCTTCTTTTTCCTTTTTTCACATCCAAGATTTTAAAAAATAAAAGATATACAATATTTTTATAATAATTGGAGTCACTTAATATTTTTCTAGAGAAATTTTGATACAATTTTTCTACGTCTTGAAATTTTTCTAGTTTGCTCAATTTTTCTTATTTTTTCTGTGTTTTTAAATTTTTCTGGTTTACTTGCAAATTTTTCTTTGATTTGCTCATAATTTTATCTATATTTTGACCAAATCAGATAAAATTTTATCTTTTCATAAATAAAAAATTTCTGTGAGAATTAATGTTTTTACTCAAATTTATGCTTGAATCTGAGTTTGTCCACGGGAGTAATCAAATCTATATATTAGCCTTCTTTGGTGGAGTTTTTTTAAGTTAAAAACTAATAATCAGAAAGTAAAAGTCAAAACTCTTACCCCGGCTTCCAAATAATCGGCTTATTTAAGTTATTTCTGCATAATAGGCATGTTTGATAGAGCTTATAAACTGCTTATTTCAGCTTTTAGGCCTCGTTTGGGAATCCTCATTTTTAGCCAAAAAGTCAAAAAGTTACTAAATTAGTCAAAAAGCCAACAACCCATACCAAAAAGACAAAGATTCTCTTTTCTCTCTACTTTTTGCACATCTTTTCGTAAAAAGTCAAAAGCTTAACTTAACCAGCTTATTGCTTAAATCAAGCTATTTCTCAGCTTATCTCAAAAGTTGGTCAGGGGGTGCTTAAATTTTTTACTTAAGCGCACAACAAGTGTGGGGGGCTAAGATTACTTAAATGCCCTCGTCAATACTCAGATGTTAATATTAATTAAAAAATAGGGGGAGCGCATGTAAAATTTGAATGGTACCCATTTGAAATGTAGCTTGTAAAATACTCTCAGCCATGGCATTTTTCATTTAAAAGTGAATGGACCTGATGGAGTCTCCTGTTGCTCAGCCATCGGCATTTTTTATTTACCATGTGTAATCAAGGGCGGTGGACCTACATGGTTGGGAGTGTTGAATTGGACCCAGTCAACCCTTTAGAATGGTAATAATAATAATAGTAAAACAAAACTGATCGGTCAATGTGAAGAGGGAAAAGAAAGTTACTTGAGACTCGGGCCAAGTTTGGGATGTTCCAAAAAAGTCAAAAAGTCAAAAAGTTACTCAAAAAGTTAAAAAGTTAACACTATTCACCAAAAGTCAACAATTACGGCTGCACAACTCCCAATTCAAATTTTTCTCTACAAATCAATTTTTACAATTTTTTATTACACATTTTTCAATAAAAAGTCAAAAAGTTAACCCAAACATCCATATTTTCAACCTCAATTTTTTAGTCCAAAAAGACAAAAAGTGCACTTTTTTAGTCTTCCCAAACTTGGCCTAAGATTTTAAAAAATAAAAGACATATATTATTTTTATAATAATTGGAGTCTCTTAATATTTTTCTTGAGAAATTTTGATACAATTTTTCTATATTTTGAAATTTCACTAGTTTGCCTAATTTTTCTGATTTTTTTCTGTGTTTTTAAATTTTCCTGGTTTACTTGCAAATTTTTGTTTGATTTGCTCGTAATTTTATCTGTGTTTTGACCAAATTAGATAAAATTTTATCTTTTCATAGGTAAAAAAATTTCTGTGAGAATTAATGCTCTTACTCAAATTTATGCTTGAATTTGAGTTTGTTCACGGGAGTAATCAAATCTATATATTAGCTCTATTTGCTGGAGCTTTTTTAAGTTAAAAGCTAATAATCAGAAAGCAGAAGTCAAAAGCACTCTTATCCCAGCTTTCAAATAATCAGCTTATTTAAGTTATTTCTACCTAATAAGTTATAAGCAGAAATTGCACCAAACAGTTTGGAACAGATTCCCAAATCAAAATAAGTTATAATTACACTCTAGAAACTGTAACAAACAGTCCCATGGGCTCATTTGGCAAACTAGCTAACCCATTTTGAGTCACATCATCTTTCACATTTTTTACCCATAAAAATATATAAAAAAAAAAGGTCAAAAAACCAGCTTTTAACAAACTTCCCAAAACACCCCTATATAAAAGAAAATAGAGTTTCTAACCCATAAGTCTTGTGAGAGCTTCAAGTTCCCAATTTAAATTTCATAATTTTTTTATTTTTAAAAATTAAAAAAATCTTCTATTTATTTATATATTTTACAAAAAAAAAATACTTTTAAGAAGTGACATTATGAGAGTTTTAAAAGCTCATACAAAATTATTTTTAAAATCAAAACCTCAATTGACTAGCTTATTTAAGTATTAAATTTATGATTTTATTAAAGTTTTAAAATCTCATACAAAATCTATATACTATTATAATTAAAAAAAACATTGTCATCTTATTAAAGTTTAAAGTTGTAATTCTTTTCTTCTTTTTTTTTTTTTTTTGATTTTATTTAATTTTTTTTAATCTGTGTCACAATATAATTAGTTTATAAATTAATTTTATAATTTTAAAATAAAATTTTAAATTTAGATTCTTTCTTAAATTATGTTACCAAAATAAGATCAATATTCATTCATTAATTTATGCATCTTTTATTAAATTATAAAATAAAGTTTTAAATTTAAATTCTTTTTAAAATTATGTTACTACAATTAGAATGATATCAATATTCACATGTGTGACAATGATGTGTCATAATATTATTGGTCTAAACATAATATGTTATTAAATACACGTATTCAAATTATTAATCACTATTAAAAGTTTATATTTTTTGGCAAATTATTTATAAGTCCTATTTGGGTGACTTATACAATATATGGTCTTATGAAAAACTTATAACCCAATACGTCTTGTGAATTTCTTGTGGACACATCTGCCCCCAATCTTAATTAATTAATAACCTGACTAATGATTATATCATATATGAAAAATCTAATATTGCCATAGATTGTGATTATATCTATATGGTTAAAAATTTTAAATTCAAAATAACCTAATTAATGACAATATCATATATGAGAAATCTAATATTACCATGAACTGTGATTATATCTATATGATTAAAATTTTGAAATTCAAAATAATCTAATTAATGGAAATACCGTATATGAGAAATCTAATATTACCATAGATTATGATCATATCTATATGATTGGAAATTTGAAATTCAAAACATAAATGTAACATTTAACATTGCAAACCCAACGTGACATTCGTATGCTTCCCATCTCAAACCCAACGTAAATGTAACATGTAACATCTTAAACCTACCGTAACATTCCCATATGCTTCTCATCTCAAACCTCACGTGACATTTCAATACTCCACCATTGAATTTTGAATAATCTAAGCTCCTAAATGTAACATGTAACATCAACCCAACCCGTGTATTGAACCACCATCACCTCTAACCTAGCGTAACTTCAACATTGAACGATGGGATTCAATCTACATTCAATTACAAACCCAAATTCCCAATGATTTTGTATAACGTACTGTGACATGTATGTAAAAACTAATTACAATAAAGACATGACACACAATTAAATACATGTACAACCGAACAAATACACAAATGTCATCTACTACATGGTGTATGTGGATTAACATTACACACTAAATGTAACATGCATCGTAACACGCTCATCCAGGTTCTAATGTACAATTGCTATCCTACGACTTGGTTCACATTCAACATCCAATTAACAACCAAAACCAAATACTCCTAACCCAACCATTGAACCCATACACACTACCCCCCACATCGAACATATCAAAACGCATTAACTATCACAATGTCAAATACACACAACGTTGGCCAAAGTGTTCCTATCAATGAGTGTAATAAATTGTCAATGCCCTATTATAGATGAACAATCCACACTTCAACAAACAGCAACACACTTAAAAAAATAAAAAAAAAATACCACTTGTCCTCAACCAATTAGAGTCGGAATCTATCAAAGGAATTAACACACAACTCTCAAATTTCATCATATCATTGACCATATCCACATCCATTTAAGCAGCATTTTGAAAATATACTAGAATAACATGATAAAGGCGAAAAAAATTCGCACGATCATTGCCTGTAGACTTGTTTTTCCTAAAAGTCTTCCCAAACATGATATGATAAATGAGAAAATAAGATATAATACGGAAAACAAATTAGGGATACAATAGTACACTAATATCATTCATTTACAACTCATAGGACCTTATGAAACATATTCCTATTTAAATAGGATTTCAAACTCTAAAATAATAATTATAGGACTTTACATTAAATAAGTCTTCTAAATATGGCTTATAAATATTTTTTCTTTTTATTTTTTTATCATCTTTTGTTTTAAATTTTATGAAAAAAAAGATTATGTCTTTCTAAACTATAAGGACTTAAACAATAAATTTTTTTAATAAAAA